GGGCCCCCCCCGACGCGCCCCGATCCAGGGCTTTTTGAATCGAGCACCCGATGACACATCATCAAAATAACCCGGAAGAGGGAGTGTGTTTTTTTTTTTGGGGGGGGGGGGGGAGGGGGAGAAAGGAAGATGAAGAGGAGAAGAGGAGGGAGAAGGTTTACCGTTTCTTATTCTGCATGCACGCATGATGCAGGCAGGTGTTGCCCTTGTCGTCTCGATCGTCCACGTTGTCCCTTGTGATCACCTTCTCCAGCTCCTTCACCTTCCCGTACCTTGCAAGCTTGAACTGCGACGCAGGTCCTCGGCTCGTCATCGTCCCGTCGGTTGCGTCACTCCTGTCCGTCATGCCGCCGTCTCCCGCCGACGAGTTGCCCATCGACCTCTCGGTAATGTCTCCTGCTCTCCCTCCTCCTCCTCCTCCTCCTCCTCCTCCTCCTCCTCCTCCTCCTCCAGCAGGACCACCTGTTTGCGAGCTCTTCAGCCAGTCGTTGATCTTCTGCTCATTGGCATCAACTTCTTCCTCTGCTGCTTCTTCTTCCTCGGTGATCTTCTTGTCCTGTATCTCCTGCTTCAGCTTGTCTATCTCAGCCTGCCTCCTCTTCCTCTCCAGCTCCATGTCCAGCTTCGCTTTCTCAGCTTCCATCTCCAGCATCTTTCGGATCCGATCTTCCTTGGCGCGGAGCCGCTCCCTCTCCCTCTCCTCCTTCTCCCGTAGCGCCCGCTCCTCCTCAAGCTTGGCTTGCATCTGCTGTCTCTCGAGCTCGTCGCTCTTGATCCGAAGCTCTTCGATGTGTCTTAGCTCAGCCTCCCTCCTCTTGTTCAGCTCCTCCAGCTCCCGCTTTTCGCTCCTCAGCCGAGCCTCCTCGTTCATGACCTTCTCTTTCCTCTCCTTCAGCTCCGCCAGCTCGCTCATCAGCTGGTCCTTTTGCTGCCCCTCCAGCACCTTCATGTGGTTCTGCTTCTCCTCGTGCAGCCTCTCTATCTCCATCCTCCGGTTCTCGGCTTCCTCCTTCAACCGCTCGATCTCTCGCTCCTCCTGCACCATGGAGCGCCGGAGTTCCATCTCGTGCTCCTCGCGTCTCCTCTTCTCCCGCTGCAGCTTCTCAAACTCCTCAGCGATGGTTTTCTGCTCTGACATCGCTTTCTCCAGCATCTCCTGCTCCTGCTCCAACGCCTTGCGGGCCTCCGCCTGACTCTCTTCAATCCTCTTCTTCTCTTCCCTCAGCCGCTCCAGCTCCTGGGCCTCGGCATCGATGCTCGACTTCATCTGGATCTCCTCTTTCAGCCGCTGCAGCTCTTGCTGCTTCTCCTCCTGCAGCCTCCTGCTTTCCTCTTGGATCTGCTTCAACCTCTCCATCTGCAGGAGCTGGATGCCCGCGGAGTTAGTTGCCTTGCTCACTTCGTGCTTCAGCGTGGAAAGCTCCCTCTCCCTCTCCTCCTGCTTCTTCTTCAGCTCCTCCTGCTGATCTCGCAGCTTGTCCGCCAGCTCTTGCTTCTTCTTGAACTGCTCCTTCAGGGTCTCCAACGTCCCAACTTCCTTCATCAGCCTTCCATCCAAGCTGTCTGTCTCGCGCAGCATCTTGTCGATGATCTGGTTCTCATTGCGAAGTTTCTGCAGCGTTTTCCTCTTCGCCTCCTCCCTTTCCAACTTCTGCTGCTGTTCGAACTTGAGCTGCTCAATGTAAGCCTCTTGCAACTGAGAATGCTGGGTGAGCCCACGATCAAGGAGAATGAAAGTACAAGACACCTGTTCCCTTCTCTCAAGCTCCAGCTTCTCCTCCTCCAGCTTCTTCATGTCTTCCACGAACTTTGTGTCCAGTTTGATAGACGGAGGAGCTGGTCTCGCGCTGCTCACACGTCAGCGACAGAGCAACATCCTCTGAAGGTTCGGTTTGTTTCACCTTTCCTTAAGAATCACCCTCGCTTCCTGCAGCTCCGCCTTGCTCCGCGCCTCCTGGACTGCATCCTTGAGCTCGTCCTGGGCTGTCGTCAGGGTTCGCAGCGGATAGCATCATCGCTGGACCTCATGCGCTCTCACTGCCGACTTGATGTGATGCTGAATCCCGGCCTGCGACTTGAGATGCTCCTGCTTGAACTGCAGCCCCATCACAAGGCAGCCTCCTCCTCAAGCACGACAAGACCTTCTCCTGCTTCAGCTGGGCAGCAGCAGACCTCTTGGCCTTGATCTCAGCCAGGGTCTCATGACTCGCCGCTGCGACGCTCTTGTAGCTCTGGGGAGGATCCTCCGCACCCGTTGGCTGCTCCCGCCCGCCCGGGGCTGCGCTGGAGTAGCCCGGAATGACCTGCGGGCGGAACCTTGAGGTAGGAGTGAGGCTCATAACCAGCTAGTGTCGCGGCATGTCACCGCTCCTTGAGGGCCGCATGCAGCATCTGCTGGTTCCTTGTGCTCGTCGTCGGGCGATCTTTCTCGTTCGTTTCTTCCTTCTGCATAAAAGACAAGTGAGCTCAAGAGGTGGTAGCAGCAGCAGCAGCAGCAGCAGCAGCAGGAGGCTACCTTGCTCTCTTCCAGAGGCTTCAGCCGCTGCTGCCTTGAGACTGGACGGAGTTCAGAGTGCTGAATCTGCCGCTGACAGTCAAGGGCAGGAGACAAACAGGTGGCATGTCACCTGCGAACTCAGATCCTCCGACTGAGCAGGCAGGTCCTGAAAGCTGAAGAGAAAGAGCTTTCAGGCTGAAAGAGGATGAGACGTTCATGGGACGACCTCTGGCGAGCATGCGACTGCTCCTGCCCCTGCTGACGATCCCCGTGCCAGTCCTTCTCCATCGGCTTCGGGTGACTGGGGTGACTTTCTCTCTGCCCAGGTGCAAATCAGCTCGTCACATCCTTTGCAAGGTGACGCTCTGAGCATCGGTAGCCTCCCCACCTGCAGCTCCACCTGGGGAACCAGCAGCTTCTTGTGCTTCTCGGCGACCAGCTTGTCAAACTCAGCGGCCCCCTGCTCAGTTGCGTCAAATGGGAAAAGAAACTTGATTCCTTCCCCCACCAGAGCATCCGCTCGAGCCCGTTCAGCTACCTCCCTCCGCAGCCGCTCCAGCTCCTCGCTCTGCATCTTCTCCTTGTCCTGCCCGCTTGTCACTTCATCCCTCCCCTCTTCTTCCATCCCCTCCCTCCTCCGGCACCTCTTTCATCTTGAGCTGGCTTTTGAGTCGTTCGATCTCCTTCTCCTGCAAGAACATCAACCCAGCAGCGCGTTCATGCCCATGGATCGGGTCTCACCCGTCGGAATCGCTCGTCATCTTGCTTCGCCTGTTCGGACCACAACTTCTCCAGCTCCTGCCGGACCGTCAGGATCGCATGAGGCAGCGAGGAGATCGACCTCCTTCTGCTCCTTGTGCTTGTTGTCTCGTCTCAGCTTCTCCCTCTTCAACCTGTCGGCAGCTGCTGAGAGCAGGAAAACACCATCATCGCCCTGCACCTATCAAGAATCTCCTTCTGCTCTCGTTCTTTCTGCGCGGCCTCCTTCTGTTGCCTCTGTAGCATTTCCATCTCCTGGCTCGCCCGATTCAGTTCCTGCAAGTACTTGACCGTACCTCGTCCTCTTCACTTCACCTCTAGCTGTTCAGCCATCTTCTTCTCATCGTGCGAAGTGTCTGGTCGACGAGACTTCCCATTCATCTCCACAGCAGGAGCGTATCCATGCCCAGGCTTGATCTGATCCAGCTGGGGAAAGGGTATCAGGCTCACATCAAGTGACATTTTCAGAATCTCACCTTCTGTCTCCTCATACCGACCGAGGACTGCAGAAGAGGGTCTGGTGGCGCCGCTGTTGGTGTGCTCGCCTCCTTGGCCCGTGAGAACCTCTCGAAGTTCAAGTCTGCTGATTTCTTGGCAGGGATCGAGCTGGACAGGATGAACTTTACAACGTTGCGGGAGATGCGGTCACTCTCACCTGGATATCACTGGAATGACGTTCCTACTCGGAACCTCCGACGCCTCCGACGCCGGCTGGCTCGAGCCCGCGCTCCTCATCCTTCCACAAAGTTCAGGACCAGAAGCAGAGATGGACAAGCACTCACTGGTTGCGAGACTTGAGGATCCGCTTCTCAATCTTGACAGCCTTGTTGACTTTCTTGTCCACCGTCTTCATGAACGTGTCGAAGTCGTTCACTCCCTCCAGCTTCAGGGAGCCCAACTTGGCCGGGCTGTTTCCGAAGAAGGACGAGTCCGTCTCACCTACCCGATCATCTCAGGCACGCGCTGGGGTACCATCAGACTTACTTTCACTCTCACTTGAGTCCGAAATCTTCAAGACATCGGAGTCAGTGGAAGAGTTCAGCGATTTGTTCGCCGACTGAGGACGCCCTAGGCTCGAACCGAAAGTATCGCCCGGCGGCCGCCAATCAAACGCAGCATCGAAGTCGTTCCTCCTACTCTCTTGACTACGACTCTCTCGTGCGATGTCTCTGTGCTGTAAACTGGTGTGATGGCTCGCTGGTTTTCTCTGGTTCTGAATTGGACGATTCTCTCCCTCCGACTCGCCGTCGGAGCTGTCGCTGATGTCATCCCGCACAAAACGACTCTCAGGCATGCGCGATTTGTTTATGTTGGGGAGTTTGGTCGCAGCCTTGCGGCTGGAGGAGGTATTCGGTGCCTCTACTTCCATCCTGGACGTCCTGTCCACCAAGTCAACAAGGAGAGAAAAGTCGATCCCTCCTGTACCTGAACTCCGAGCCCTGGGATCCTGACGAAGACATGCGTAATGATCGATGCGGCTGGGGCTCTTGTGCTGGGCGATAGCTTGACTGACTTTGATAGCTTCCTGCGTTCAGGAACTGCAGGCCATCCCTCGTCTGCCTGCTGTCGGTCACGTCGTCCTTCCCATGCCGCTGCCTCTTGGCTTTGACGGTGGAATGGCTCGAGCTGTAAACGGAGAGCGTCTTCTCAATTTCTCTTGAGTCGATCGTGCTCCCGATGTTGATACCATGAAGCAGTCCAGTCTTTGCAGGTAGTAGCTCACTGTCGTCTGTAGACTCTGAATCGTCGGTCAGCTGGTAAGTGACCTTCTCGATAGAGCGAAAGCTGTCTTGAAAGTTTTCTGATTTCCTTCTCTTTTCGCTCTTTCCCAAGGATGAAGCTGGCTGATAGTCGGAGCCCTGGAATGGATCATCAGCTGGCTTGTAATCATCTGCATCTTCTGAGTCGGAAGAAAACTTCATGCGGTTTTGCTCTTTGGGTTTCAGAGTCAACTTGGGCCCCTCGGCATGACGATCCTCTTCAGAGTTGGAGGGATCACTCAAGTCTGATTCCCTGTTGACACATGCAGGTCAGCCCGGCGCGTTCGCAGCAACGAGGGGAGGTCTTACTCAGGCAGGTTTTTGGACTGAATCCATCCCTTGACATTCTGAATGCCCCGCTGGATTCGTTCTTCGTCGTTTGTCTTGGGCCTACTCTGATGTTTGCTAGAGTCAGAGAGCCGGGCAGGAGCACAAGTCGCAGCCTACCTTTGCCCCTGCTTGCTGTGCCGCGTCCCCTGCGACTCCCTCGTCATCGCTCGACTCTTCCTTGACGTCGTCATCATCGACTCCGGAGCTCTCGGCAGGTCTGTTGTTTCTCAGCAACAACGAGGCCTTGGTAGTTTTCGAAGGACGCTGTGTTGATGAGATCTTACTGAAGAGCTTCTTCATCGCCAACGATCATAAGCAAGCTGCTGCCATGGTTCTACAAACGGAACCAAGATTCCGCTGCTCCTGCCAGGAGCATTCCAGAACTTTTGCACAGCCGTAGATATTGCCACTGTAAGTGAATCATGCTCACCCCGGTGCTGAAACTTCCGACCATCTCAAGGACGTGCTGGTGATAAATACCATTTTCTGTTCGAATTCAGTTCAACTCTTTGTGAGGTTTCTTCCCTGCCTCAAGTGACGACGGGAGTCAGGACGCCTCTTGGCCTCATGGAAAGCTTCCTCTTTCTTCCTCGGCATGGTTCCTCTACTCCTCCTGCGGTCTCGTCCTCTTCCTTCCGCCGCATGTTGCCGGTGCACCGTTGCTCCCTCCCGCCATTACCATCTGACCCGCATCCCCGCACATCAAATTTGACCACCCTCTACTACCTAGCCTACACTACCCGGTCATTGACCCCTTCCTTTACCATATACAACTACCCCTACCCAGCAATCCAAGAAGGGCCCCGACAAACGACCGCCAACCAACTTGGCAACGGCACTACACTGGCATGGCGGGGACAGCGGCATGGACCGGCGCCTTCTGGGAAGACCTCAAGTCCGCCATGCACGCGGTGCCGCCATGGTCCCTATGGCTCCTCTTCGCTCAGCACCCTGACATCCTCGTCAAGTTCCCTGCTCCCCTCTCCTTCCTCATCGCTCCCGACCTGGGCATTGTTGCGCGAATCTGCAGCGATGGGGACGATAAGTTGAGGGTGCGGAGAAGCACGAGAGAAACACCAGTGACATTCGATATGATGGAGGAAGACCTTCGCCGGTGCCATGAGACCCGAGGGTCTGACGGACAGCCTTTCCTCTGCACTGTGTACGGCGAGGATTGGTCCCCCTGCTTCGTCGCAGTCGAGCACTTCAATCTTCTCATCTTGTGGCTTCGGCAATCATGCGGTCTGTGCGACATGATCTTGCAGTGGCGACGCGATGACTGACGGAGGTCTGGTGCCATGCAGGTGAAATACATACCACGTTTGGGATCGAGGAGCAGAAAGAAGCCTCTGCGTTGTTCCCTGAGAAAATCACTTGCGTTCAGGCATACATCCCCTTGCCGACCTTCACAAGGTGAGGAGCGACTAGGCTTGAGCTGTCGGGTGACGAGGAGACGTCAGGTACCTCACCGTGAGCTTCAAGACCAACCTGATGTCAAGGTGCGAAGTCTACCGCATGGAGTGTCACGCTGAGAGCACGCTGGGAGATATTGAGCTCGACACCATCGTGAAGCCGCACAACCCGCACTTCCGGGACTCGATCGTTCCTCTCGATCCGAAGAAAGACTCGATAGCAAAGTACTGCATCACGAGGACTTCGACCATGCTGGGGAACCTGAGGAGTCAGAAGCGAGTTCGAATCACAGCCATCATATGTGAGTTTGTGTTGGACCTTCATGGCAGCACCTACTGCACGTCGGTGCTGGGGGTAGCGAAGCCCGACGTGAAACCTTTCTTCTACGACATCAAGCGCCTCAAGATCAACGACATGCCTCTCGTCCGCATCTCCGTGCCCACCAAGAAGCCGCAGAGCCCCACGTTTCGCAAGCGCAATATGCTCTCCTCCCAAGAAGTTTCCAAGCAGAACTCGCGGGTGACGGTGTCGTCAGCGAACGAGGCAGAGATGGCGGAGACCGAAGACATTCCCCTGATTGACTTGAGAGAAGTGCAAGCTGACGCCAAGGACGTGTCTGGGATCAAACTCCCCCTGCACGAGCTGTTGACAAAGGTACCCCTGCTACCTCCCTCAGAGCTGCTGTTGACTTGGCTGCGCACTTTAGAACGGAGAGAAACTGCATGCGGAAGGGAAATACTTGGAAGCCATCAAGACCATGGTCAGTGACTGATCGACTTCCAGCTCCTCCTGATGATCGCGAATATGTAGGAAGAGGCGGAGAAAGCTTTCTTGACGGAGATGGCGAAGCAGAACCGACTCAAGTCGGACAAGGGTGAAGTAGCGCTCCCCAACGCCCAGGTTGTAGAACAACAAGAGTCGACGAGCCATATGACGGCCTTGCAGTGCTTCAGGTGCGGCGACATGGTCCGAGTTGACCTGGACAAGCCTGGATACTCGCACTACGAGTGGAAGGCGAGGGAGGCGGAGGCGTCCCGCAAGAGCGGGAGGAGGGCGGAGGTTCGGTGGACAGTTGACGGAGCTGCTAATGCTGACGGCTCTCAGCAGGAGAAGACAACAGCGAGGGTTCTCGGGGGGCTAGCGGGGGTGATCGAGCAACGTCTGGATAAGATTGAGAGTGCGCACTACGCGATGACACCGAGGGAGCCGCTGCCGCATGACGATCGGAAAGCTTTCCCGCAGACCATCTGCAGTCTGTGCCTGGGGGATGCAGAGAAAGATATCAGGAATCGCCCGCTCGTCCAACGAATCAGACAGCTAAGGAGTACAAAATTCTGACTTTTGTATATATACCATGTTTACATAATCACATACGCATATTCTTTTGTGAAATGTGTCTTGTATAACATGTTTAATTAATCGCTAACTTGTGTTTTGTATGACATGTTTAATTAATCACTATTCTGTTTCCTTGCAGCATCTTACATTCATCACACATATGCAGCATCCTGTCATCCGAGCCTGATGGTGTTGTTGCACGAATGCAGAATCCACACAGATTCCTTGTCCCCCATCATGTTAAAGTGTTCATACTGAGAATCTTGAAAATTGCGATGCTCCCCAGCAAACTGCCTCCTTGGCCTTACCAAACTGAGTCAGAGCCGCCGGGCCGGCAGTGGACGTACCTCGCACGCAACCCGATGCTCTCAAGGAATTGCCGCCTCTTTTGAGAGAGAGAGCTGCTGTGGAAGTTGCTCCTCTGGACTGTGACCCAGCTCATAAGGGACCTGTCCTCTGGCGAGCTCTTGTCCGCAAACGTCATCTCCACAGTGCCATGCTGCATCTTATAAAGAAGGAGTCGGTTGAACCAGACCTGACGCTCAATCAGACTTGAACGATAGAGAGCAGGGGAGAATTACGTTCCAACTTCCGAACCCAATCTCGAATACGAACCCCATGTTCTCGAGCCTTTTGATCCTCTCAGCCGACAGCTGCAGAAAGATGCTCGTCAGGGACGATGCGCCGGCAAGAACGAGCCTTGAGCTGCGATACCTTCCCATTGCGATACAAGGCTCGCTGATTGTTGACCCAGGCTCCAAGGTTGGGGATGAGAATTCCTTTTGAGACCCTCGGGACTCGATGAATTTCTTTCGGAAGCGAGAAATCAGACCCATTGCGGAAGCGATAAGGCACGTTAGAATGTCCATGCACGATGCGGAAGAGGAGGAAAAGGTTGAAGTACTGCAAGCACATCGTATTAGAGAAGGCGGTGCGGTCAGGGGCAACACCGTTACCTCTTCCCAAGAAGTCGTGTGCAAGTCCCAGGTGAACCCGAGGGCATCGAGGAGTCTCCGTCGCGTGTCACTGGGTCATTGGTGAGCGAGCAAGAGAAGGAGGTGGGGAGAAAGAGGGCCTTGAAACAAAGGAGTGAGGGGGAGCTGAACTTACCTGAGGATCCCGAGCCGGTGGAAGGTCCGTTGGGTGGTCACCCATCTTCCGAGCTCTCCCACCACCCTCGACTTGTACGGCTGTGAGTACTGCTGCGTCACAACGAGGCGGAGACGTGCATGGCGTTGCCGTTACCACGTTGCAATGCCCGAATGTGTCTCGCCACTCCTTCAGCTCGGCATAACGCTGCAGCCAAGTAGCGCGCTCTGACTGCGCAGAATCTTGAAGGAGCGCATCAGGGATCGGAGATCAGAGAGGAGTCTCTTGTCGTTACCCGGCTTCATCTCGCTGTTGGAACTGCTCTGTCCCAGGGAGGACCTGATGCTGAAGGGCTGTTTTAAAGGAACAACGTTCACTCATGGTCAACGTAGGTCTGCGAGGATAGCACCGATCTGACCGACTCGATCGTTTCATTGAAGCTTTTGCTGAACGATCCTCCATGCCTATACGTGGTTTCAGTGAAAATCAAGCTCGAGAACCTTTCACTCACATCATCGCTGGTTGCAAACGTTCGAGAAACGCCGATTCTGATTTGAATCTTCTGAGGGTTGCCCCAGGGTCCGTTTCCTGGCAGCAAGGGCAGGATCAGTCTAGACGTCAGTTCTCAAACGTGAGAGCCGCACGTTTCTAGGTCTCCTCCCTGCCCCATGCCTGCGTAGTCGCCACTTGAACCCGATTGAATCCAGCATCCGTCTGCGGGCGGGGTGCAAAGTTCCTTTAGTGTTCAAATTCCTCTGGATGCGGATCCAGCGCGAAAGTCTTCGCTCGATGCCGCTGTTGACGATCACTGGCACCTCGCAGGTCCCGTGCATTTGCTTCCATTCCATGAGCTCCGAGAAGCGAAGTTTCCACGAGTGCTGATCCCTTGCATGATCCTGGGCCCTCGTCAGCCTCTTGACTGGACACGGGATCCACAAATCACCGAGCACAGTGTGCAGAACAGGCACATGTTGAAAGCTAAAGGATCGGATCTGCCATCCATGTAAGATCTCAACCTGGATGAACCTAATCCATCAAGAAAAGGCTTACAGTCCGTTGTCCCCCAGGCCTTCATCGCCACTGCTCAAGGAGTCAACTCTTTGGTTGAACAGAAGGAGAGAGCGAACACCACCTTGTATCCGTCTGTCCATGGTACGAAGCATGACGGGGCCCCCGGCAACCGAATGGAGCGAGCAGAAGCAGGCACAAGAACCAATGTTTGAAACAGCCCCTCATCATAACCAGTCTCTGTAGATCCAGTCCATCGAGAGGGTAGAACTGGAGCTTCAACCCATCCTATCATGAACGACTATCTTGCCATCTCGAGTCAAGTTGATCACATCCTTCTCCTCTCTCTCCTCTCCGCTCCCTCCGCTCCTTACCCTCACTCCACGCTCGCCATTGGAATCCTTTCCAGTCCCACCGTTACGTTTCAGTCCAACATAACTGATTTCTGCCGCTCCGGGGCCCGGGACGGCCCGGGCCCCGGCCCGCCGGGGCCCGGCCCTGCGGCCCTGCACGGTCGGCGCGGCCGCAGTGCGGCAGTCACCGAGTCGGGGCCGCACTGTTCTCCCGAGCTTTGAACTTGACTCTGATAGCTAGCACATCATCTGATGATCGGCGGACAGCGAGGGATTCGCGGCTGCGCGGCCCGGCGGCCACGGTTGGCAGTAGCAAGACTTGACCGTGGCGACCTGCGGTAATCAACTTGATAGGACAAGACACATGATGAATTTATTAACATGCTGGGCAAAAGAGAGAAGATGAAGAAAAACAATAGAAGTCAGGCCCCCGTGAAGAATCCAGGTTTCATCAAGGATTCTTTCCCTGCCGCAGAGCGTCACATCGTCTGATCGCAAGTCTTCTTGTGAGCACACGATACCTGCACCGCGAAGGAGTAGGAGGAGTAGGAGGATCGCATCGCGCTGGACATCTCGAACTGCTCAGACAGTGAGGCAACGCAGGAGGATCATGAGGGGATGGACCGCGTAGAGGCTCGTTCCGTTGCAGTCAAACCGCGACCACGGGGCAGCTCCTGAGTATCGGACGAGCGCAGCGTTTGCTCCGTCCTCCGGCCAGAAGGTCAGCGACTTGGCCCCTCCTCTGAAGCCCGTTCCCTCCTGCACGCGCCTCAGGGTACAAGGGCGACACAGCAGGTTCCCTACCACTGCCCACAGCTGAGTCTCCGTGAGGGAGTGTACCATGAGGTAGTGCTGGCTGTCCATGAACACATGTTGAGCTGTCAAGAGGGTCAGGAGGAGCAGCAAGGGACTAGGCAAGCACGCACCTGCTCCTGGCACGGTCTCGCTGCCATCCGGCACGGTGATGGTGCGGTTGGTAGCTGGGACGGGATGAGTCTGCGATCATGGTAGCGGCAACTTCACCTATCGGTCGCCACATGGGAGCCTGGCATGCACTGCTGAGGTCCCAGCAGGACTGGAGGAGAAGGAGGTCAGAAGAACATGCAACGGCACTGCGAGCAGCTGCTCCCACCGCAGCGAAGAGCTCGACATGAGCTGGGGAGTAGCTGGTGCTGTTGCTGGTGCTGTTGCCGCAGCCCTGGCAGTGGGTGAGCAGGAGGACGCCTGAGGAGCGCAGGAGTACCGCATCGACCGAGTCGCTTCCGATGGTCAAGGCGATGACAAGCTGAGAACCAGCCCGGAAAGTTGACAGGCCGACCACTCGGACGACGTTGAGGGCCTGAGGGAAAGAGGGAAGAAGGATGAGGCGAGACGGGGGAGGAGACGGAAAGCCTACCTGCTGCATCGCAACTACCCCATCGCGGATCTGATAGACGCGGGTGCAACCGTCACAACTGCCCGCAACGACAAAAAGGCACTGGTCCTCTGCGAAGGGAGTCAGGAGGGAGCAAGAGGGGAGGGGCGGGGCCTACGGAAGATCCCCAGGTCATCTCCGGGCTGGTCGACGGAATGGTAGAGCACGAAGTCTGCCAAGGCGTCCCTCCACACGTAGATGTCGGTGGAGTTGTAAACAGATCCCTGACAACCTCCACGTCAAACTTCGACTCGTCACTCTCCCCTCGCTCCAACCTGTGTGACCAAGAGGTAGTTGGTGCTGCCGCACAGCATGTGCTTCCATCGCCTCGGCGCCTTAGTCGGGAGGGTCTTGTACAGCTCGAACTGTCCGTCCTCCTCCCCGACCCAGCGGTAGAGAGGGGACCCGCTGGTGTAGTAGAGCCCGTCGAAGTACTGGGCTACAACTAGCCAGATTTGACCGGCGAGCTCGAAGACCTCGAGGTCGATAGCTCCGGCTGTAGAGAGGTTCTGATGGAGCTGGTAGGAGCCGTCGATGGAGAACTTGTACACCTGGCAGAACCGTGTCACAAACCTCCATCTGCTGCGTCCACCCACGCCAACGCACGTGCGAGTCCACGAAGTAGCTTCCGATGCCGGACTCATTATAGAAGCTGGCGAAGACGAGGAAATTGGAGTTCCCCACTGTGAAGTTTTCACAGTCGACAGCAGCAAGCGTCGGGATTTCAAAGATCGTCTGCAAGGTCGAGGGGAGCTCCTTGATCGACAAGTCCAGGCTCTCCTCGTAGAAGCAGCCCTGCCCCTGCCATGCTCCCGTCAGCTCCCCAACTGCACACTCGTACGCTAGTCACGTTGGCGTATTTGCAGGCTGTCAAGTCCCGCAGGGCCTGAAGTCCAGCCTCCTCCGCCCTCGTGTCGTTGACATCGAAGCTTGCGTTCCACTCCCTCCACGGGCCCAGCACACCCGCATAGTCCGGACCGAACTGAGACACTCGATGCAGCGGCTCTGCGAGGTGGTGAGGAGACGCGGATGGGGCGATCGGGCTCACCTGCTCCTCCATCGGAACTTCGCAGCAAGTATGCAGAGCCCGCGGCCACGAACTCAGGAGGAGCTCCTGCGGGGCGGGGGAAGAGAGTGAGAGAACAAGGAGTGGAGGAGTGGAGGAGCAGAGATCGGGGGGAGGAGGATCGGACTGACCTCTGCGAAGGCGATAGTTTGACATGACCATCCAAGAGCCTCTCGAGTGTTCGAAGAAGAGGAAGCAGCTCATGCTGATATCTGCGTGAAGTCTCTCACCAGCCCACCCCCACCCTCACGTCTCCCACCTTGGGTGACTTGCTTCCAGTACACGTTGGCTCCTCCATACCTGCGGCATTCGTGTCACAGCCCACCATCGCCCCGCTCCTCCGTCGTACTTGACGTCTGTCTTCATGTACTCGCCATGGAACTCAGGGTGGATCATCGACCCTGTCAGCTCGATCGCCTGCCAGGAGCGTCAGGAGGAGGAGTCGCAAACCATCCTGACGGCGTCACCTCGAAGGGGAGGAGCGAAGAATGCATGGTGATCTCCACCGCTGTGACGATGGTCCTCGCGGCTGGGTAGTCAGGGGAGAACCGTTGCTCGTAGCTCGTGTAGAGGAACGTCAAGACGGAGTACGGCCGGTCCACCCGCGCAAGGAACGAGTAGTTCTGCAGCTCGTAGTAGTGGATCGGGGACGGAGTAATCGGCCCGAAGACTCTCTCCTCATTCATCAGTACAGTCAGCTGGCCAACAGGCCTGCTCAGGTACGCCGACATGGTCCCGTTGAACCAGTCCTGGGCCGCGCTAAAGTTGACTCGAATGACGTCTCCCTTGTGCGCTCCTGGGCCACTCAGTCAGCGCTGCGGGTAGGCTCCGCCTCCTCCCCTCACCATGGAGGATCGTTTGGGAAATCCTGCCTGTGAACGGGCCGAGGGCGATGCCGGGGGGAGGCAGTCTTGACTTGTAGTTGAAAAGGCGGGTCGGCTGGAAGCTCCCGTGGGCGCGATGGACCAAGAAAGGAGAGTTCCAGTCGTGGTTCTTGCTCACGTTCCCCTCGCAGGTCCAGCCCCCCGGGCAGGCGTCCAGCTCCCCGTCGAAATCTCCGTTGTCGATCTGTCGGAGGAGGCTTACTGAGATGGTAGGAGGGGAGAGGAGGGGAGAAGGGAGGGAGGGAGTCAGGGGCGGGAAGGGAAGGGAAGAGGAAGAGGAAGAGGAAGAGGAAGAGGAAGAGGAAGAGGAGGGGAGGGAAGGGAAAGAGGGAGGAGAAGGAGAAACCTGTGCCACGGTGTGACCTTTCCTCTTGATCCACATCATCATCGTCGAGTTGATCTGAAACTCAGGGAGGCAGCCCTCTGCCCCGCTGCAGGAGTCTGCAGTCGTGGACCTGACGAGGACGACGAGGTCCCTTCCTTGGACTTGGAAGCTCTTGGAGGTGTAGGAGCCGTAGACGAGGCGCTGGATGAGCAGGTTTGAGAAGCAGGACTGCGCGAAGATCTTTGACTTTGGTACCTGCAAGGAGCAAGACCGAGGTTAGTCTCTGATTGCCTCCTCCCTCCCTCCCTCCCTCCCTCCCTCCCTCCCTCCTGCTTCCTTTCTCCTCTCTCTCTTGCATGCTTCCTTTGGCCCCTTCCTCCTCTCTCTCCTCCCCTCCCTCCCTTCTCTTGACCAAGTGGAATATTCAACTCACGAGCTCCGTGTCCTGAAAGCCTTCAAAGTCCGCAACGTTGCCCCAGTCGTCCGAGAACGAGGCCGCAGGCTGGTAGGTGATCTCGAGGCTGCTCGCTATCCACGAGATCCCTCCATTGCTGGGGTTCAGCTCGACCCACTGCTGGAGGAAGAGACCTGGCGACTTCTGCTGGCTCGAAGCTCGGAAGACGACCGTCTCGCCGTCTCGCAGGACCCACGAGAGGTTCAGCTGGTCGTACTCGATCACGTGCCTCCTCTCCACCGCCACGAGGTCGTTGAAGTTGACGCGCTCCCCGCTCAACGTCGCTGCATCCCCGACGATCCAGGAGGAGGACGAAGCAGCTTCGTCGAAGATCCACCCCTCGCTCCGATCCTGCGTATTGTCCGCTGACGGCCAGTACAAGACTGAGTCCGTCCCGTTTTGGAACAAGAAGTTGCTGCCCTCCTCTTGCTTGTACAAAGTCTTCCCGTTGACCCGCTCGGGCACCACAGCGTAGACCCCGTCGTACTCAGCCGCCAGCCCGAGACCCGAGGCGTTGAGGAGCAGGGAGGTGGTGGTCCTCTGCAGGAAGGAGGGGTACTCGCCCTCGGTCAGGAGGTCGTAGACTCCGTGGGCTGACGGGTGACTGTTGCTCCCCCGCACTTCGAGCGTCAGCTCGTCCCCAGCTGGCGCCAGAATCTCATACTTCACCTGCCCCTCCAGCTGGAAGTCCCGCGGGTTTCCGAAGAGGACCAGGGACACGGAGAAGGTGGCTGGGTCGAACGTCTGCGACTTGATGCGGAAGAGATGGGGAGAGGAGGAGGAGGAGGAGTTTACGCGCACGAAGAAGCCGGCCAGGTAGTCTGAGCGGGGAGACGCGCCGAGGGACAGAGCAAGAGTCCCGTTGGGCCAGGCCGTCCCCCAGCCCCTTGCCACCACTCTCCTAGTGCTCACGAGGCTACCAGAGGAACGAGGCAACACGGAGAAGAAGGAGGAGACATCTCCTCCTGCAAACCTTGCTGGGAGCTCCAAGACCTCCGACCCATTCCAGGAGGAGCTGAGAGCATCCGGCGCTCGCTCCAGCTGGAGCTTGAGCTGGAACCGACTGCCCGTCTTGTCGATCATCAAGTCCGTGAACGTCACGACTGGCCCCTTCCTGTAGATCGTCGTCGTTCCCAGCAGCGTCGCCATCCCCGAGGGGTCGTAGGAGAAGGAGATCGTTACCCTGAGCGAGTGCGAGGCGGCGTCGTTGCATGCCGGGTCCATGGCAACGAGCGAGGGCTGGGAGAGGAGCGTTCCTACCGTCTCATTGTCAGCGGGGTAGCGAACCCAGCGGAAGGAGGTCGGGTTGCCAGGGAGGACGGTGACGTTTGCGGAGGTCACGTTGAATGTGGAGGAGGAGAAGAGGAAGGTATACCCGCTACCTATCCTCTTGATGATCAGGTCTGTGAAGTTCGCCACCCCACCCACAGTGGTAGCGAAGGAGACATTGGAGCGGTTGAGGCAAAAGGTCGAGTCGTCCTGCTCCAGGACCGCAGACACTACATCCCCCTCAGCGTCTGCGATCCAGTTCCCTCCGGCATCCAGGAAGCGGACGCTGGGCTGGACCAGCAGCGGCTCTCCTCCCCTCCCTTGCGCCGGCTGGACGAGGACAGAGAGGGAGTGCCTGGGCCCAACCTTGACGAGGAAGGGACCCGTATGCGCTTCCTCCAAGTTCACAGAGGAGAACCGAAAGTTCCACCTGCCTGCCTCCGGAACTGCCAGGTCCTCGAAGGTTGCCACGGCGTTGCCTCCACCGGTCCCGTTCTGCATCACGGCAAGGCTCTGACCTGTCAGCGCCTTCCTGGGGTGCAGCGCGAAGACGCTTGTCCTCTCCCTCTCGCTCACCACCAGGAAGTCAGGTCCACCGAAAGTTCGCACGTGCAGCACGTCGCTGACGGAGGAAGGGAGCGGGAGCTCGGCGACGCTGGCCGGCGCCTCCCAGACGAAGTTCCCTCCCTCCTCCACCAGGTTGGGGTGGGTGACGAGGCCGACGGTCGCGCTCCCGTCCTTGTTAAGCGCGGAGGAAGCGAAGCTGATGATGCTGGTGCCTCCGTACTCGAAAGAAGAGAGCCGCTCGATGCGCACGGCAGAGGAGAGGGGAGGGAGCAGACGGAAGTAGCCGCCGTCGAAGAGGAACAGAGAAGAGTTTCCGAACCGACTACCGACGAGCAAAAACGAGCGGGTCGAGGCCACGTAGGCGCTGACGGCCGTGGGGCTCTGGAGGGGAAGCAGCTGGTAGGGGGTGAAAGCAGTTTCCTCCCACCTGAGCACCAGCACCGACCCTTCTCCCGTCGCGCTGGTGAAGTTGAAGGAGTTGGAGATGACTAGGTAGTCAAGGCAGTCGATCGACATGTGCGCGACCCCCTGTGCCAGGTGCGTCTCGACCCTCTGCAGCAGTCGCGGGTGCCCGCTGGAGTTGAACGTGAAGATGAGCGAGTCGGCTGCCGCCGTCCCGTCCCCCTGGCACGCGATCGCCGCCATGGGCGTCTTGCCGACCTGAAACGCCTCCACGCTGATCGCCCCAACAGTCTGCAGGCTGTCGACCAGGAAGAGCTGAGGCTGGTTCCCGGGCATGAACCTGTACACGTGAGAAGGTACGTCGAAGAGCATCGTGGACGCGTCGAAGAGGTTCGAGAGCACGAGGAAGTGCTCCTCCTCCACCTTGAAGGTCGACCAGTCGCTCGCCCCGCTAGTCAACACGTCCAGCTGAGGGACCAGCTGGCCCTGGGTGTTGAGGATGTAGACGGTTGAGTTGACAGAGGTATCGCCGTTGGCCTGCTGTGAAGTCAGGAGGAAGGGAGAGGAAGAGATAGGAAGAGAGAGGATAGGAGAGGGAGAGAGAGGATAAGAGAGGAAGAGAGGGGACGAGCAGAGGTCCAAGAGACAGACAGGTGCTGGAGGGGAGCAGGTGCGGGAGGTACTCCGAGGATGAAGTCCGAGGATGGGCAGCACACGAGGAGCAGTGGAGGAGGACGAGGAGAGGAGGGCAGAGGGCAAGATTTCTTCACCTCGAACGAGGCGAAGACGACGTAGTCGTCACGTTGGACCCGGAGGTGGAGCATGCCGAGCACGGAGGACGTCGGGAAGGACGAGAGGAGGACGAGAAAGTCGCTGATGTCCGTCCTTGGGATCTCAAGGGAGGCTGAAACGCTGAGGTCCGGCGCCACCTGCTGCAGGTAGTTTCCTCCCCTGTCTACCACACCCACCTGAGGCTGGGTGGGCAGCGCCGTGCCCCCGGTCCCGTTGGAGGGTGATCGCTGGACCACTAGCCTGTACGGCCCGCCGACGTCAACGGCGAAGGGAGCGCCTTGCACGCTGCAGTTGCAGGAGCAGTTGACGTCCGGGGAGGAGAGTCGAGAGAAATAGCAGACTGTCTCGTTGTAGGAGGAGGCGGAGAAGCGAAGCGTGTAGCTCCCTGACCGGTCAACCGCCAGGTCTGTGAATTTGACCAGCCCCTGCTCGGCTGTCCTGATCGTCTTCCCGCAGATTTTCCCTCCTCCACCATCCGCGGCCACGAGCTCGACGGCTACTCGCGTGTGGTCGTCGAGGGTGGCGCGATTGTTCTAGGGTCACGCGTGAGCATCTTGACTTGGTGGAACGAGGAAGGGGAGGGAGGAATTGAGAGGAGGTGTGGGGAGAGGGAGAGTCAGGAGAAGAGGAAGACAGGGCGGGCTCACCTGCAGGTCGAGGAGCTCAATCTCAGGCTGTACAGCAAAAGCTTCTCCTCCATAGGCAGAGTTTGCCTCAACGACGATGGAAAGGCGGAAGTATTGAGCAGGGAGGACGACGAAGCGGGCAGAGCGGGCAGTCAGCGCCTGCCCGTCAGAGGAGGCGGCAGAGACCAGGAAGGAGTAGTTCTGCCCTGCTTTGTCAATAACGAGGTCCGAGAAAGTCGCGACTCCTCCCGTCATCGTCACTGTCGTTTGACCTCCCAGACTCGCCGCCTCATCCCCGACCAGCTGGACCGTCACCTGCGTTGAGTCGTCGCTGCCGATGACTCGGCTGCCGACCTCCGGGATGACCCTCTCGACCAGGAGGATGAAGGGCTTTCCGCTCACAACCTCCTTGCTTGTCACGTTCCCCACCTGCAGGGACGTGCTGGAGAAGGAGGTGAAGTTGAGCTGGACGAGGAGCCGGGGGACTCCAGGCCTGTAGAACGAGAGGAAGAATGGGGAGGAGGGGGCGGAAAGGATCTTGAGGTCGGACCAGGACGCGACTCCGTTCTCAACCTTCACCGCCGCCGTACCAGCAAGTTCCTCGATGACCGAGCCGTTGCTCGACGTCAGCTGGGCTGTGACAAGCGAGAACCGATCGTAGTCGACGACGTTTCCTCCCTCGTCCAGCAGCTCCACCTTTGGCTGCTCGTAGAACGCCTCCCCCACGAAGACGCCCAGGGGCTCCTGCGACAGCCGGAGGCTCCGGACGGAGCCCGGGCGGAGGACGAGGGGGGGTGTGCGGAAGGGCAGGAGCCCGGGGGAGGAGAAGACGAGACTGAGAGGGGAGCGACTCACCAGCGTCACTACCCGGAGGTCGGTGAACAAGGCCCGTCCTCCCACCGCCTTCACTACCGTCCTGCCCGCCAGCAGGCCAGAGGCCAGCTGGCCCTGGACTGACACCCTGACCTCCGTAGAGTTGTCAAGGGTGTTGAGTGAGCCGCCAAGGTCGGCGATCCCGAGGGGGTCGAGGCGGAGGATGTCGCCGACCATGGCAGTGGCCGGGAGCCCTCGGGGCCGGAGGAGGAGCTGGAGGCTCTTGGAGAAGGAGAGGAGGACGAGGGTGCTGGTGTCCTGCCCGCTCCTGTCAACCTTGAGGAGGAAGCGATGCTGGGAGAGAAGAGTGAGCCTGGCACTTGTCATGTTGGGGAAAGAGCGGGCTGAGTTGAGGAGGTCGATGAAGAGGGGATTGGCCTCGTCGGAGAGGTCCAGCAGCTGGACCCTGACGGCTGAAGGGCTGCTGGGGGAGTCCGAGGGGAGGACGAACAGGAACCGTGTCTTCTCAGCCGCCACCCAGTCGTAGGACGTGAGGATGTGCGATCCTGGTGAGATGGAGCTGAGGTATGTGGTCACGTTCGCATCCAGGTCGACCTTGAACAATCGATCTGCTCCGTCGACAAGGTATGCAGAGCTCAGGTTGGCATCCCCAAAGAGGAGCGGAGGAGGAGCGGACGCTGGGAAGTTCGAGGCCAACTGCAGCATGCCCCAGCTCTCGTGAACGAACGAGTATCTCAGGAGCACAGGCCCATCGCCCACTGCTGCTCCTGCTCCTGCACACCCTCCACTCACCTGCGACTGGTTCACCAGCGTGAGCAGGTAGCGCTCTGAGCATGTGAGGTGCGGATCGACCAGGTTGACAGGCCTGCAGGCCTGCCCGTTGAAGCTAGTCCAGCTCATCTCCTGCAGGTCCAGCCTGTAGAGCGCCTCCTCCTGCTCCTCCGTCTGAGCATTCCGCCCCCCCAGTACCCACAGGCTGCCATGGCAGACGACGGTAGCATGGCCCACCAGAGGAGGAGGTCGAGTTCCTGTTGTGTTTGCAAGCTTTACGCTGAGGTCGGCTGTGTTCAATAAGCGCAGCTGAGCTCCTTGGGCCGTCACTCCTCCTCCTCCTCCTCCGAGCACCAGGACTTCCTCCCTCCAGGAAGAAATGGAGGAGCCTCTTGTCTGTGAGAGGGAGCCCTGTAGAGCCCCGCCCAGCTGGTCGTTCCAGTAGGAGCGGAGGGCGGAGGAGAGAGGAGCTGAAAGGCTGAGGAAGCCGGGGAGGGAGAAGTCCAGCTCGAAATTTCCGCTGCGGGTTACAATGAGCTGAGAAAACTTCAAGGCAGCTGGGCTGGGGCTGGTGAAGGCGGCAGAGGAGGCGAGGAAGCTTCCCGAGGGCTTCGACTGCACGTGCGGCTGGAGAGGACCTCGAGAGAAGGAGAGAGGATGGAGAAAGCAGTCGCGGAGCTCTAGATCCGCGGAGAAAGTCTCGTTGGTGACAACGTGGCACCGCCCTCCCTCCAGCTGGGAACAGCCAAGGAGGCTGAGGAGGGAGCCGTGAGCTGGGGCGGCCGGCTGGTAGGTGAAGTTGGAGAGGCCGAGGGCTGCGAATGCCGGAGACTGAGAGTAGCTGATGGCAGTTACGAGCTGGTCGTTGCTGCTGAAGGTTAGGCGGAAGCAGCTGAGCGAGCTGGGAGGAGCGTCGAACGGCGTAACGGTCTCAGCGGTCAAGTCCAATTGGCTGCCAAGCTGGGCAAGCAGCTCGCTTGAGTTGAGGCTCGAGACGGTCAGGTCAGCGCAGAAAGACAGAGACGCGGAGGTTCCGGGGTAGGGGATGACGCTCAAGACTCTGCTAGGGTCGGAGAAAAGGAAGGGATGCGCAAACTGCAGCGTGACGGGCTTGCAGGTGACGGGGAAGGAGAAGTTCTGGACGACGACGGCCCCACTCTCATCCACAACGCTCGAGACGTTGGTGGTGAGGGTGTCACCCGCAGTGGAATTGAGCTGGACACAAGCTGATCGGAGGGTGCCGATCTTGGCGAACTGGTTGCCGTCCCAGAGTTGGGAGGAGATGAGATAGCTGGAGTTCTGCAGGAAAAGGTCGTAAGAGTCTAGGTACGGGCTCGAGATCCTGTCCGCCTCCCTCGCCATGGTCAGAGAGTCCAAGTGGAAGTACTCCAGCGCGTTGCTGCCCTTCCACCCGCTGGCCGAGAGCAGGAAGCTGTCGAAGGAGGCGGTGGAGAAGTCGAGTAGGGAGACGGCGGTGGCGTGCGAGCTGGGGAGCTCGTGGGTGAGGGAAAAGCGATCGGGGCTGCTGGCATCATTGCAGAAGATCCGAATCATCCCAAGCTCTTCTTGGTACGGCGAGGAGGCCCACAGGATACACTTATGCGCTGCCTTGTAACCCAGGATGTGCGGGAGGTACTGGGGCAGGTCGATGAAGCGGAGGGAGCTGACGATGTCAGAACTGACGTTCTGCAGAAGCACGAGACTGTGGTCTGCTCCGAGCTTGAACACACTCACGCCTCCCGCCGCTGACGCGATTGCTACCAAAACGGAGGAGGAGGAGGAGGAGACCTCAATGAAGGTGGGCTGGACAACGACGAGGGGCGCAAGAGGCTGGAACAGATCGCCGTCCCACAGCAAGAGGTCGACACGGTTTCCCATCTGGGAGGTGAAGACGAGGTACTGGTGCTGTCCCCTCTCAAACTTCTTCACGTCCCGGGCCCCGTTGGTCTGGAGGGTCTGGACGGCCGTCAGGTGCACGTTGGTGTCTTCAACCTGCTCGGCGTTGAAGAAGGAGATGCGGTAGATGCTCGACGGCAGCTCGTAGTCGCTCCCATTGTAGAAGTTTGCTATCGTCACGTAGCTTTCCCCGTCCAGCTGGAAGGCCTCAACCGCCGACGCGCCGAACGTCACCACCTGCCCAGCTCTCCTCCAGCTGCCGAGGTACCTCTCGTAGGTGTAGATGAAGGAGCAGGTGACGTAGCTCTGCATGTAGAAGTCGAAGTGGTTCGCAAAGAAGAGGTAGTCCTTGCCGAAGATACTCAGATGCTTCGAGGCCACCGCGCCCTCCGTGTAGAGGTCGTGGAGTTTGGTGTAATTCAGCTGGCCGTCGACGAGGGAGATGGAGAGGAGCGGGGACGGGGCGTTGCCGGGCGAGTCTCGGAAGGAGGACGAGAGGACGACTGCGCGCACGGGCCCGTTGACGTCGCTGAAGAGGAAGGAGTTGATGTGCTGAACTCCGGTGAACTGCTGGGAGAGGAGGTGCTTGCTCGAGATGATGCCCTGCATCGACTTTCCGCTCCTGATGAGCGAGACGGCACCGAAGAGGCTCTGCTCTGCATCATAGCAGAACATGCTGACTTGGTTGCTGTCCTGCGGCCTTCCCTGGCAGCTGAGGGGAGGGTGCGAGCGGAACGACTGGAGGAAGAGAGAGAGCGAGGAGGTTGAGCGCTCCTCCTTGACCCCCGCTGAGACGTTGGGCGCGGCCACCCACAGCCCCTGCCACGAGTCTAGGGACGCGGGCTTGACGAAGATATCGAGCTGGAGGAGGAGGAAGGAGCTGTTGTGCTGGGCCAGGTAGCCATTGACCGCGTTGAGGGTCAGGGCAGGGAGGGAAGCGAAAGTAGAGATCTCGAACGCGACCTGCACCGATGGAACCAGCAGCCTCCTCCTCCGCAGCTTCAGGTCCACCACCCCCAGCACCTCGATGCTCGTCGGGTCCACCTGCCCCACGGAAGCCAGCGCCAGTAGGAGCGTGCGTATGCTCGAGTTGCCAAACGTCTCCGTCGTCCTCCCGCTCACCAGCGCCCTCCCGCTCAGCACGAGCATGTCTGCCGTGCTCCTCACCGCGAACTCGTTGCTGTCTGCGCTCGCTAGCACAGCACTTCCGAAGCGGAAGCGGAAGCCTCCCCCCGCCACCTTGACCGTCAGGTTGTACAAGTGGATAACCCCTTCTTCATCCTGCACATAGCCCGTCCCCTCGAACCTCTCGTCCCCATCTGGCCGGGTGAAGATCCCTGAGGTAGGGAGCAGCTGGACTGTCAGCCCCCCGATCGTCTCTCTCACCACGTTGCCGTAGCTGTCCGTTACCTCAAGGCTCGGCTGAGGGTTCAGTGCGACTCCCGCATCCCCTCCGACTGGCTGGATGCGCATCCTCAACCTGTCTGCCGTCCCCGCGGTGACGTTGAAGAAAGTGGAGGACTCGGGGGAGACGACGGAGGGGAAGCGGAAGGATAGCGAGTAGCCTTCCCCTGCCTTGTGGATGGTAATAGCGCCGAACGTCGCAGTTCCGCTAGCGTTGGTCCCCCTCGTTGTCTCGCCCACCAGCTCCCCGTCGACTCCTCCGTTGGCGGCGATGTCAGCCGTTATAAGGACGTTCTCCTCCTCCACGAAGTTCCGTCCCAGGTCAGCCAGCTGGGCGACAGGGACAGGAGCAAAGGTCTCGCCGCTGACGATGGAAGAGGGCATGGTGAGGATGGAGACTAAACGCGGGGGGCCGATGGTAACGTTGAAGGAGCCGCTCGCAACCGTCGCCAGACCCTGGGCGGAGAAGAGAAGCTTGTACGTGTCCGGGGCGAGGAGGACAAGGAGGTCGGTAAAGGCAGCCACTCCCAGCTGGGAGTGGAGCACAGTACCGCCCCGCAGGCTGGAGGACAGATTCCCCTGAGACGCCTGAATGAGGGAGGCAGAAACATTGACAGTCGCCTCCGAGATCAGGTTCCCACCCGCGTCCTCCACATGCACGATAGGCTGCGGGTCTAGCAGCTCCCCTCCTCTCCCTCCAGCAGGGGACCGGACGCTCTGGAGTCTGACCGCATTCCCGGGTAGCAGCGTGAAGTTGACGAAGTGGAAGGACAGGTTCCGGTCGACGTCCTGGAAGAGGAGGAGGTAGTCTCCCGTTGTCGTGAGGATCGACAAGTCCTCGAGGCTGCGGTGGGTCTGAACCAGCACATGCTGGGTACCGAAGGAGGGGGAGGGGGTGCCGAGGAAGAGGATGAGCTCGAAGGTAGCGATAACGAAGTTGCCGTCGCACGGGTAGTAGTTGACCTCCTCTGTCGCCTGCAGGCTCAGGGAAAGTTTCCCTCCCCGCGCCAGTTGAGTGACGTCGAGGCGGTGGAGGACAGTCTCAGTCCGCGCACAGCTGCAGGGGAACGAGAGGGCAGAGGAGGCAAGTAAAGGAAGGGAAAGGAAGAAGAAAGAAGAGGAGAGGAGAGGAGAGGAGAGTGGAAGGGAGAAGAGAGGAGAGGGGAGGAGAGGAGAGGAGAGTGGAAGGGAGAAGAGAGAGGAGGAGAGGAGAGGAGAGTGGAAGGGAGAAGAGAGGAGAGGAGAGGAGAGGAGAGGAGGGGAGAGGAGAGGAGGGGAGAGGAGGGGAGAGGAGAGGAGAGGAGAAGTCAGAACGAGCAAGAGGCACAGCAGGGAGGTCTTACCTTCCCATGCACATTTCACTCTCTCCGTCTAGAATGACCGGCTCGTTTCCCACCCCGTAGAGCCTCACGAACTCTGTTTTGTGATCGAAGTCTGTGCAGGTGAGGGAGACGGAGAGGAAGGCGAAAGCTACGAAGTCCTGCTCGACCACGTCGATCTCCACGTCACATGCCATGTAGCCGACACAGTCCTTGGTTATCGTCTTGGAGCTGATGGACAGCAGCTCGACACTGATGTTGTGCTCCTTCCCGGCCTCTACTTCGTTCTTGTACTTGTCCAGCACCTGCACGCTCAGGAAGCCGAGCGGCTCGTCGACCTTGAAGAGGCCCTCCCCTGTCGTGGACGCGAAGATGCTGCTTGCTGTGTTGGGATGGACGACCAGCGGAAGGCTGAGGATGGAAAGGGGAACGTTGAAGAGCTCCGGGATAACGAAGCGCAGAAAGTAGGACTGACCTGCCTTCGTCATCATGAGCTCGCTGAACTGGACGACTCCGTCTTGGAGGAAGGAGGAGTTGATCCCGTACAAACGGACGGAGGAGGAGGCGTTGACAAGCTCGACCAGGGCCCTCTCCCCGTCCGCAAAGCCGAAGGCCCGGTTGCCGCACTTGTCGATGATCTCGATGGAGTTGATGGGGGAGAACAGCGTCCCAGCCACGGCCGAAGTCGTCTGCGAGACGATCCTCATGTCTGCGATCTCACCTGATCGGGAGACGAAAAGAGCGGTGCGGAGGTGGGGAAGCTCGCCCGAGGTGAGGAGGAGGGAGAAGCGACTTCCGATGAGGCAAGTCGTGAGGTTGGAGATGGTAAAAGTCCCGTCGGCGTAAGCGAGAGAGAAGGAGAGGGAGGTGTTGGCGACCGTCTCGTTGCCGTCTTGGAGAGAAACTTGCAGAGGGTTCGAGTAGTTGGTCACCACGTTCCCTCCCTTGTCCAGTACGGAGACGAGGAGGGAGCGGTCGTACGCGTGCCCGGCGATGATCTCTGTGAAGTTGATCGCATCCTGCAGGAAGAGAGCGAAGGGAGCCCCGACCAGCACGCGGAACGAGTCGCTGACGAGCAGGAGGCTAGAGTTCTCCGCCTTCCCTTGCTCGCTCACGGGGAGGGAGAAGGCGAGCCGGTAGGTGCCTGCCTTGTTGATCAGGACCCCAGCTGTAGAGATGCAGGCGGACAAGACGTTCACAGTCCAGCTGAGTTGGGAAGACACTAGGACCACCTCGATCTTCTCGATTGAGCTGCTAAGCACGATGTTCTCCCCTCGGTCCACCAGGCAGACCCGGGCTGGCCGGGCCGGCGGCTCAGCTGCGACGACGTCGGAGACTCCGACGAAGAACTTGAGGGCGAAGACTTGCCCGACCAGCACATCGAAGGGCTCACTGAAGGCCCCGTACAGCTCAACGGAGCAGAAGAAGAACCTGTATCCTTTCTCAGCTCGCATCCCCCCGACGTTGGTGAAGTTAGCTCGGCCGCTGCTGGACACAACCGAGGCGTTGCCTACCATCCACTCCAGCTGCTCCGCGCACGATCCAGAGCGGTTCCACGACAGCGCCTCGGCCTCCTCAGCCGTCAGGTTGAACGTCAGAAGAGCAACGACGGTCGCGCTAGAGTTGAAGACTCTGTTTCCTCCCTGGTCCAGCACGTCAACCTGAGGCTGGGACTCGAGAGGGAGGCCCCCGCTGCCGTTCCCAGGCTGAACCGCCACTGCCAAGCGCCATGCCGGGCCGAAGACGATCTCGAAGGCGTCGCTCTCCGCCTGAAGGCAGCAGGAGGAGGTGAAGATCAGCTGGAAGTCCATGGCTGCGAGCGAGATGTAGAGGTCGGTGAGGGTGACCACACCCCGCTGGGAGAGGACGGAGGTGCTGCCGAAGAGATGCTCTCCTTCCCAATGGTGGAGCGACACGTTGGGCAGGAGAGCGTACCCCCCCGAGTGCTGGAGAGAGATGTTGACTAGGAGCTGCTGCGGGACCGTGTTGTTGCCGGCATCGAGCACGTGCACGACAGGTTGACGCGGCAGGGGCTGCATGGCGACACCGTCGGACGGCTGCTGGGTGATAGAGAGGTGGTGAGGTACCCCAACCCGGACAGCAAAGGTGTCGGATGTGATCGAGGTCAACTGACCCTCGTCTTCGAACCTCATGAAGTACCACTCGCTGACCGTGTTCACCTGCAGGTTGCTGAAGGTCACAACTCCCAGCTCGGGCCCAGCCTCCGCCATGCCGAAGAGATGACCACCAGCAGTAAAGTTCTGGCACGTTGCATTCTCGTGAAGGCTGGCCCGCACAGAGATTGGGCCCCGAGGATGCGTCAAGATGTTGTTCCAGCTGTCAAGCAGGTACACAAGCGGTATGTCCATGTCAACCATGCTCACGTACGAGGGATGAAGGCCTCGACAAGTGCAGATGTGGGACAAGTTCGAGTGAGAGATGTTGAGCGCGTCAGAGGTCGTGGCCAGGAGTCCATCGGAGGCAAAGTGGAGCCGAATCGGTCGCGACGTCCCTGCCGTGATGGAGAGGTCGGTGAAGGCAACCACCCCGCCGCTCGAGAGCACTGAGCTGTTGCCCAGCACGGCGTCTTCGATCCTGTTGCTGCCTGTGCAGAACTGGAAGCACTTGGAGTTCTGCGCAATTCCCTGGAGGTCTTGGCAGGTGGTGACGTTGGGTGGAGTGTCGAAGGTGTACGTCTCCTGGATGAGATGCGCGCGGACCAAGTGCTGACCTTCCCTCACCACGTTGTCGTACTTGTCCAGGATGTGCACTGTCGGCTGGACCAGCATGGGCGAGCCTGCGATGGTCTGGTGTGGCTGAACATCAACGGTCAGGTGGTCGGCCTCCGCCGGGAAGACGGTGATGTTGAAGCGCACGGGGAGCACTGAAAGACCCTCGGCCTCGAAGAGGAGCATCAGATTACCAGCCGTCTCGATCGCCAGGTCAGTGAACAGAGCCGTCCCCCGGTAGATCTCGACGGTGATGTTCCCAGCCATCTTGATCTCACCCCCAGTCATGCACTGCTGGTAGCACTTCACCCTGACCTGGCCCTGAACGGTGGGGACTGTGTTGAGGTGTTCATCAACGACGGTCACGCTGAAGGGCGGGTCCAGCACCTTCCCAGCTGTTGCAACGGCTGTCGATTGGATCAAGTGCAGACGGACAGCCGCAGCTGGATGGATGGTGAAGCCTTGCACGCACTGAGACCCTGCAGAGCAGGGGACCTCCGAGTCGAACTCGTCCACTAGCTTGAACGGGATCCTCCTGACGCAGGAGAAACCATCGCAGCTGCCTTGACCGAACGAGCTGGGAAGGTTGCAGGTGATCTCATGGATCGACAGCGGCCTCGTCTGTGCCACATCGTAGCAACAACCCTCGTTGATGTGACAGAAGTTTGTCAAGTTCCACTGGCAGAAGTACCTCTTCGACAGGTTGAAGAGGCCGTAAATTGACACCTTGGTCGGAACGCCCTCCTGGACCAGTAGCAATCCGTCGGAGGGCATCATATCCTTCCAGTAATCGCGATAGATGACAGTCAGGTCGATGTTATCATTCCTGATCTCCAGGACCCCCCTCTCTCTCCCCGTAAAGTCTGTCGATCCGACTGTCACTTGGATGGCTGAGTCTGATACCCAGACTGCGGGTCGGACGACACCCTCCATCTGAAAGCGCTGTGTGGTCGATCGCAGGCCGAAGTTCAGGCCGTAGACAGTCGTTGACAGGTTCCCCATTATGTACATGTCACTTGAATTCACTTGTGCAACCGCTGGATACCAGACCACCATGCCGATGGCTGACTGGGACTCCAGGCTCACAAACTTCCTCTGGCAGATCTGAAACAAGCCAAGACTTCGAGACATGGAATTTCTCGAAATGATCCAAGGACCTGCCGGACTTGGCAGAATCACCTGGGAATCTGCCAGGTGCTGATTATCAAGCAAAGCAAAGCTGTCCCTGCTCATGATGTTTTGTACGTCAACAATGTCGCTGATCAGTCGTGAGTTGAAATGGATTTTGCGTAACAGGGCTGCTTTGCTGTTGTTATTCAAGAAGATTCCAACCAGAGCATCGTTCCCATCCCAATGTATCGATACAAGGTCCTTGAACGCGTCTTCTGACCACCCTTCAGCAGTCCCTCCATACAGGTCAACCTTACACAAAAGACTTTGTGATACATTGCGAATGACAAAGTAATATGATCCCTCGAATCTGCTCAAGCAAAACAGTCCTTTGATTGGTGTTCCCCGTACCGTATGCAACTCCTGAACAATACCTTCGTTCGGATCGACTTTGATAATCCCCGTTGTGTTTCTGTTGGGTAGCATTGCTACCAGGTATCCACCGCCTTCCCAGAACGCCAAGTTCCACAAGCCATTGGCATAGTCATTTGGGCCTTGAAGCCGAATCGTCGTAGATGTCAACGCAGTCACATCCAACGAGCTCAGGTTGTTTGCGGTTTGGATGTACAGCCTGTTCTCTGTGCTGTCTATCGCAAGGGATGATGACCAGTCACAAGAGATCTTCTCAGCGACGTTGAGGGTCTCAGAACCGCCTGATAAAGGAACAAAGTGAGAACGCTACTACAAGCTCCGAGCCACCCTCCACTCACCAGTCCTTGCATCAAAGATCACCAGGCGAATCTGAGGCCCAACTCTTTGTACTGCGATCAGTTTGGACCTGTAAGTACATCAGAGAGATCGCATTTCCATGCTCCTTCTCGCTCGCTCTCACTCACCATCGATCTGTGCCCTGGCAAGGGTCCTCCACTCCAGACACCAGGGAGCAAGCAGCGCAAGCCGCCACTAGGATCCTCCAGATCCAGCGACTTCGCGCCATCTCCCAGCAAGGAATGTCTGCCTACCTTCCCGAGGTACCCGCAGCCACTCCCCTTCCCATGCCATGCCTCTCGGACATGCCGCTTGACGTCTGGGGGTCTGGCGGTTACTCGAGTCAAATTGGAAGTAACGGGCAATTCTGACTGTGGGCCCGCCCCGGATGTGTCTCTGGTCACCCATCGTCTGCGGTCTCAAGTCAGCAAACCTCTGAACGTTGCTCCCTGAAATAGAACAAAAAGCATGGACGGGGGCGATATGGAAGCAGGTTGCGGGATAGAGATGTCTTCGATGATGGCCAGGTGTGCAGAAGATGGTTGCGTGTGGAACACTGATTAGCAGCGCGAGATGACGTTGCTTGCTACCTTGATGTCTTCCATCAACCCTCTCTCATGGGCTCACTTCCTCCCCTCCCATCCCTGCAGTGCTCGTTGCTAGCTGCCGTGACTTGCTTGCGCCGAGACGTGTTCGTTCAATTTTTGGTTCTGACTCGCATTGATCCATAGCAGGAGGAAAAACATAGCGAAAGTGATGTCCACATTTGTGGTATTCGCTCTTTGCGTGGTGGCGGCTTCTTGCATTTTTGATTCGGTGGAGTACAATCGATCAGAAAAGCTACTATACAAGGTTGGGACCGGCAACGTGAACATAGACGCTTCGAGAACAAAAGGAGGAGGTCTACAAGCCTTAGCGAACTTTGCACAACGAGTGGTCGCGCTAGGTGCCAAGAAGAACTCAACCTCGGTGAATCATAAGCCGATGATTAAACATCAAGCGATGCTGCGACTCGCGAAATTGCAGTCACAGGACAGCTCACAGGCAAATGCAACTGCGTCTGCTCCATTGAGTAGAAATGAAACGCATCCAACATCGGATGAGAGCGATGAAATACAGGATTCCTTCTTCGATAGTTCGAACGCAGAGGGGCGCTGGGCAACATCAGACTGGCTTGTTTGGCTTGTTTCTGGACCGATAGTTACTGTCTCAGTCACAATGTTCGTATACTACACTTATGGAATATCGTGGGCTGCCTCAATATTTGTGATTCTGGGAGTGGTGGACGTGTTGGCGCTGTATATGAACGTTTGATTCATCTGCACTCGTTTTGAACTGGCTGGATCAAAGTCTGGGTTTAGTAAGCCCGGTGGGGACAAAGCTTTGAATTTCAGCAGGCAATCAGTTTATTCATTTCCCGAAAACTTTCTCGACATCCCTCTTCACTTTGTATAGTTATCACTCGCTGAGTAACCTTTATTCGACATTAAAGCAGTATTCATTCATGTCTCATTAGCTATTTTTTGGGCAGATTTCAGTTTCCAAAACGATATATACATACACTCAAACGTTCGACACATCCATTTCGTCAATCATCCAGTGCCCACCTCTCCTTGATTTCGAGGTCTTCGGTATGCTCAATTTGTGTTGCAATTTTAGACGCAACAGTCTTGAAGCCGTTGAGTGCCTGGGCGAGAGGAGATTTCTTGTGAGAGGAAGGCTGGTCTTCTTTGGCATTCGCGCGAATACAAACTGAATCTTTGCACTGTTTCGTATCCACGGCCACCAGTCCTGCTGTACCAGGACTGTTTCCAGCTTCGCTCTTGGAAGACAACACGTTCGCGTTCGAGGTGTTTGGTTGGATCAGGAATAAGGCTAAAGCGCAGATGCCCAAAATCAAGCTTATTAGAGCAATTAAGATTGCACGTCCCTGTCGAGAGCCACGGGGATCTACGTCACAGGCCATCAGGTCATTAGCAACCATCACTCTTCTAGCACCTGATGGATCGGGGGAGAGGAGGTTTTCACGAAGCTCGTTGCCCGAACTTCCTGTGCTACCACGAGCTTCTTGACGCCTCCCACGCTCTAAACTGCGATCTAAACTGCTGTTCAAGGCAATGGGAACGTCAGGTCGAGAATGAACTTTCCCGGAAACTTTAGCGCTCCCGGGGAGCTTGTCAACTTTGGTTGAGCCAGCATGATTGCCTTTCCTGCAGTCTTGTGTCTGGCCATTAGATTTAGCTGGCATCTCCAAGTCAAGGTGTGCAGTAACAGTTGCAGATGCGGAAGCTGAGCTCTGTGGTACTTGAGCCTCAGTCGCACAGGGACTTGGTTTGGTAGGCACTTCCAGCGATCGATTCTCCAGAGCTTCAAGTTTTGACAGGAATCGTTTTCTTTTCTCGGCGTCCTGTTTCAACCATGAGTGAGATAGAACAATCTCCCTTGTTGACGAACCGTTGCATCTTTGCCCAGCGCTTCTGCACCGCGCTTTCGACTTGGTGAGAGGCCGATGGCAGATGCCATCGCACAGGTAGAAAGGGTTCCTGATCCATCCAAATCAGAGAGTGTGTAATCCAAGCCCAATTCACAAAACGTGGGGCGAATAAGAAAACTCGCGCATCTTTCAGAATTTTCTAGTCCACAAACAAAGACAAAAAGTTTAGTTGTCATTGCATCATGGAATGTACACCATGCAAGCCTACGGGATTATAATCTAAACCCTTCAACAATGAATATTCAAACGGAGTTTGTGCAGTGGGGTACAACAGACCGAGCCTGCTATCCTCCGACAGGCAACCTGACTAGATGATTCTCAAAAACACTTCCAGGATCAAACGCAAGAGTGCATAATTGAGCTTAGAGAGCATGTATGCGACTATGGAGCATCATAGAATGCATGTCATGGAAGGTCGTGGCAGCGGGTCAGGACGTGCGAGTTGTCAAGCTAACTGCTTGCGGGGACTTGAGGTGTGTTTGCAACAGTTCCAGCATCCCGCCACTAGCACTGACCTTCACACCCCACCCCCCTCAACCATCCGATCACCATCTGTACCTGGTACCGGTGTTGATTCCACTCTCTTCGAACCCCTACCCCCTTTTCCCTCGTGTTTAATTTTTAATACCCCCTTTTGAACATATGGAATAACCGGTGGTGTGAGTCAGCGACACGTCAGACAGTACCCTTCTCCGGACACCCTTCCCCTGATCACCCCCACCCCTTCCATCCCACTTTCCTAAAGCCTCATCAGAGTCTCAACTGCAGAAAGAAGATGACCACCCACCCCTACCACCCTACAAAGAACCCCGCTTTCTCCATAACCTTACCCCCTTCCTCTCGATGCCCATGGCAACTCTGTGGTGTACGATCACCCCCCGTTTCAATATACTTTTTGAGGGTACTGTACCCTGCCGGACAACTTGGTACCCCCGGCGTTGTCTGATTTTTTAGAGGTAATAGAAGTACCCCACCATATATCTCGAAACAAACAGATGTTGTGTAGGGTGGGGTAGGCACCTTCCTAGGTTGCTGCCCCTGTCTGCTGTATTATATTACACTCTATTTTCCCTTTGCTGCCCTCATCCCTTTCTGCCCCGTGCTGTCCCCCGATCCTTCCTCCTGCTCCCTTTCCTGCTCCCTCTCCTGCTTCTCCTGCTCCTGCTCCTGCTCCTGCTCCTGCTCCTGCTCCTGCTCCTGCTCCTGCTCCTGCTCCTGCTCCTGCTCCTGCTCCTCTCCACACAGTATCGCAGCCCTCCTATCTGTAGTGTCTGGAGTTGAGCGTTGTCACCATTCCAGCAGTCAAAAGCAGAAGGGATGGTCTCCTCGCTAGTAATGCCAAAAGGAGGCGCTGTGTAGACTGAGACGAGCAGAAGAAATCTTGTGGTCATGGAGAACCAAACAGTGTTGGAGCTGTTCAAGTCGGCAAGGGAGGAGGGGAGATGCCTGAAGGTGCTGCTGCCCATGTGACGAGGTAGGAGGTGGAATGATTCCCTGCCAACAGATCGCAGCGCCCATGGTGCGGTTCTCTAAGTTACCTTTCCGCCACGTGGTGAGAACTCATGCTACATGATGTGCTTCACTGCTTCGATGTCTCGCTGCCAATGCGAAAATGTTTTTGATGCCCTCCTACCTGACGAACCAGCTCCACTGTGTCTTGCTGCAACTGCTGCTCTTTCGTGCTGTTCCACTTTCCCAATGGTCCAGCGCTCCTTGCACTGTGTGTTTCATGTGTAATCGTTATTTTTTCTATGCTCAAGTGGAGATGGCTGCAGGTGAGAAGCTGGGGTTGTGAGCTTGTCTACACCCCGATGATAATGGCCGAATCCTTCATCGCCTCCAGCCGCGCTCGAGACATCGAGTTCACCACCAACCACCACGATCGCCCTGTGATCGTTCAGTTCGCGGCGCACGATGCCATGGAGTTGAGCAAGGCGGCGGCCTTGGTATGCTTGAGCGCAAGACACCTGTTCTCTCCTCCCCTTCAACCTCACAGCTCTTCTTGGATGACTCTTTGCTGTTCAGCTCGCAGGGAAGGTCGATGGGGTAGATATCAACTGCGGTATTCTCTCTGTCTTGCCCCCTTTGTCTGTATCCCTGAGACGGACTCTATTAGGGTGCCCTCAGCGCTGGGCCATCAAGGAGGGCGTTGGTGCTGCCCTCCTCAAGAAACCTGAGCTTGTTCGGGACATGGTCAAGATGACGAGGGAAAGCTCTGGACTTCCAGTCTCCATCAAGATCCGCACGGTAGATGCTCGACTGATAGTGTCCTCTCCGTTGAAATGATGCTTGACAGGATCCGGACTTGAAGGAGACACTCCGCCTGACAAGACTGGCAGAGGAGGTATGTTCGGGTCAACCCACGTCACTGGTGGGGCTGACGTCGCATGTCAAGGTTGGGGTATCGTTCATCACTCTGCATGGTCGGACGGCGTTGAGCAAGCCGTCGGATCCCGTCGACTTCGATGCGATCCGGCTGGTCAAGGAGGTGAGGGCGAGGTCAAACTCAAGTTTCCAACCATGACGTTGAACCAGCACCTGCGCGTCCCGCTCGTCGCCAACGGGGACGTCAAACAGCTGCAGGATGTCTACGACATCTTCAACTCGTGCTGCCCTGACTCTATCCCCTCATCTCGCCTGATACTCCCTCCAGTACTGGAGCGGACGGAGCCATGGCAGCGCGCGGGTTGCTGGTGAACCCAGCTATGTTCAGCGGGTACGATCAGACTCCGACGGAGTGTGTGAACGACTACGTCTACTCTGCTCTGCAGCTGGGGACAAGATTCGAGGTGCGTGTGGGGGTAGGAGGGGGAGACGGAGGAGGAGGCGGAGGCGGAGGAGGAGGAGGAGGAGGAGGAGGCTTCGTCCTGACGGCGAGCAGATCTTTCACAAGACACTAGAGTGGATGCTCTGCGAAGTCCTCAACAAGTCTGACCGGATCCACCTCAACGGATGCGTCTCCGTCTCAGGGGTGAGCCATAGTCTTATGCAGTCCGTCTCCCTTCCTTGCTTTCGCTGCCCTCCCTCGCTACTGTCCCTCCTTCCCTGTGCGTCTCACTCTCTCTTTTCCCCTATCTCTCCCTTCCTGGACTCCTTTCTCCTCGTAGAGGAAGGGTGGGAGAGGAAGTCAAAGGCTGAGCGCAGCCCTGCAGGTGCTGCAGTTCTTGAGGGCGCGAGGGTTTGACTTCCGGCCTTCGGAGAGGTTGCTTCCTCTGCTATGAGGGACTAGAGGCTTTATAAACAATCCGTAGGAGAGACATTGGAGGGTTAAAGATGGATGGAGAAAGGGGGGATGGGAAGGTAGAGAGGGAGGGGAGAGAGGGGAGAGAGGGTAGAGAGGGGAAAGAGGGAGGGAGGGAGGAAGCGTATGAGCGCCGTCAGGGCGGCAGGTTGATCGGGGAAATCACCCGAGGAGACTTGAAGAAGGAATCATGAGCTGTTAGCACGTGCATGTCAGCGTTGAGCTGCAAGAGTCGAAGCTGTCTGCGAGTTACCTGCTGGGCTGGAGCTCGAGGCACCGACTGCCGAGGTGTCAAGCAGGAGAAAGTGATCGGGAGGGGCCGCACCTGGTCGAGGGGCAGTGATGGGGCGATGAGGAGACTTGACAAGGGTAGGAGTGGCGACGCGCTCGCTCCTGGGGCTCGCCACGCTCGTAGGACCTCTGGGGGTGGAGGGGATGGAGAGGCCCCTAGGGCATCACAGGAATCTTCAGGCTCATCAGGAGGGTGTGTGGACATCGGTACCGCTTCTTGTTCAGCTTCTTGCGCAGCGTATGGATCGCCTCGTCTGCCTGGGGGAGGAATGGTCAGTGGTTACAACGGACCGGAGCATGAGCACCTGCTGCATCTTCCTATGCGTTGCGGTCTTGGCTCTCTCGAAGATCTGGGATCGGGCCAAGTCAGGAGGTCGAGGGAGGGAAAGTTTTCAATCACCTCCAGCTCCCTCCTGGTGCTCTTCAGCCTCCCCATCGTCAACTTCTCGATCTCATCCCTCACCTGATGGGCCATTGAGCATCTCAGCTCAGCTCAGCTCAGCCCAGCCCAGCTGATCCGCACTACTCACCACGTTCTTGGTTGGAGCTGGTTCTATCCTCTCCTCCTTGTTAAACCTCGCCTGTATCCCTCCGTCAACAGGATATCCATTCTCGTCTCTTTCGATCCAAGGGAGACGCCGAAAACTTTCTCACCGTGTCCTGATGGACAACAGCTGACTTAGGCCGCGAAGTTCGCAGCTGCAGAAAGTGGTCAGAAAGGATTTCACTTGACCTCGTCCTCTGCAACCATTGGATGCCTCCCGACTGTGGGGTAGGAGGGGACGAGGCGGTAGACGTTTGTTTCAGGATCCAACCAGTACTGCGGCGAGTTGCCGGAGGCTAGTTCTTTGCCAGACAGGCTGAGTAGAGTTCAGAACGCTCTCAGAGGGAACTGAACTAAGTTCCTCACCTCTCGTAAGGAGTATGGTACAAACCCTTGCTCTGATACCACATGTTGACGACTTGTCGGTCCACTGGTACCGTGATTCTCCGTTGGCTGGCTTTGTTCTTCCCCAACTGAGTGAAGCTATTGGCCGTCCCATGCGATTGGAACATTTCTCGAGAAGACTTGAGGTCCGGGCGAGCGGTTTGCGGTCGCATTTTCTTCTTATCCTCGTTCTCCTTCATCTTCGACTGGTAGATGTGGGAGATCAGCTCCTTGATGAGCTTTTCTACCGCCCTGGTGGCATGTCAGAGCACCACCCACAAAGAGCAGGAGAAGAGAGACATCTTCCTGTCCCTCGTACGCAGCATGTTGATCCTTTGAATGGTCTCAGTATCCAGCAGGTTCGACAAGCACTCCTCCTCGTCCTTGCCAGCTCCCTCCTTCGTCTTGGATCTGATGCCTGGCAGGAGAAGGCAGCAGATGAGAAGATTGTCACAGGATTGCTGCCTGCCGTCTTACCTAGAGGGCAGGAGAAGTCCGGATGCAAATCTGCCGCCTGCTTCTTGATTCTCATCTCCTTGGCGCTCTGGTCAAACCCCTTCCGCGTGTTTTGCTCGATGACCTTCACCTTGACAAGGAGTCAGGGAGAGGAAGCGACTCAACAGATCAGCTGGCGCTGCCATACATGATGCGCCAGCAGGAGCAAAGAGTCCCTCTGAGCCGCCGACAACGACGCGCCAAGGGTATCGACGGTGAACCTCACATACTCCTCCTTCAGGTCGGGCAGTCGAGGCATCGACATGACGAGCTTCTTCATGGTGGAGTACACGGGAGACTCGGGAGTGAAGTCGTGGACCAAAGGGTGCATTCGCTCCCGGCACAGCGACCGGAACTTGATGAAGAAATCCTGCTCGTTGCCGAGGGACCTTGGTATGCGGATGCTGCTCCCGTACCTCACCACCGCGATGAGCTCGGAGATCGACAGCACCTGCCGCCATGCTCGTCATGCTGGACACGTCAGGAGGAAGGGAGGGGGGGGAGGGCGACTCACGAACTGATGGCAAATCTCGATGCAGGGGACTTCCATGGCGGCCGAGATCGCGTCCTTCACCGCCGGCAGCATGATGTAAGGGCAGGGCATCTTCTTGCTCAGGGAGTTGAGGAAGAGGGCGAAGGAGGTGGAGGAGGCTCGTCCTGCTGCCAGCATGATCTCCTGCCGCTCCTTCTCCTTCTTGGTCATCCCCGCCGTGCTGCTCCCTTCAGCCATTTTCTGGCCGTTGGATCGTTACAATTTTGACAGGGCCATAACGGACCTTCGTTTGCGGTGCGTTGCGGCGGTTATTTCGCTTCGCCATTTTGACGGAGGCGACGCGATGGGAGGGGAGTCAAGCAAGGACGCAGCTGAGGCAGGTGGAGAGAGGACGAGGAGCATGGCGGACGAGGACGAAGGGTGAGGAGCGGCAGAGGCATGCTGATGTCCTGACGTTGCGAGGGCAGGGTCGACAACGTGGAGCAGCTCGCCAATGACGGTTCGGAACCTGAGATGAAATCTTGTTGGACTTTGTAGCTGATTCTGATCCTCGACCAGCTCTCTTCCAGACCAGGTTGAAGATGGCGGATACGATGAACCAGCTCGGCTGGCTGAAGACAGACCTCAAGTTCAGCGAGAGATGCCTCACGGTTTCTCTGCCCCGTCCCACAGTTTGCGCTGACCACCTGAGGTCAGGAGAAGGAGCCGAATGACTCGACGATAATTGTGGAGCCTGGTGATCGAAGACCTCCTCTTCGAACCTGCATGTGCTCACATCTCACAGGGCAACTCGTTGAACGAGATGCCAAGAACACCCGCCCGCTGCACTGGGCAGCAGCAGGCGGAAATCATCAAATGGTTGTGCGGAGCGGGCACCTGCGTGCTCGTCCTGTATCCTCGTCATGACTTGAGTCTTTGCAGGTGCAAATTCTCGTCCACACGAGCCCCCACCTCGTGAACAGCACCAATGACAACGGCGATAGTCCGCTGTAGCGCCTTGCGAGAGCATGGGTGGTGGGGCTGATCAGTCGCCACAGGCACTGGGCAGTCGTCAAGGGGGAGATGTTGTCAGTGGGGATGTTGCTGGAAGCGAAAGCTGAATGCCTTGCGATCAACAAGAACGGAATCACTCCGCTGCACTTCGCAGCTGAGGTGAAGCTGAACAACTCACGCTCTTCGTCGTTATCGTCCGCACAGGGAAGGAAGAAAGACCATGGAAAGATCCTCAAGCTGCTGCTGCAAACTCTGAGCACCAACAAGGTTTGTCTCCGTTACGACAGTCATGCTCTATGTGTGATGCTGCAGCAGATGCAAGATAGGATCGACCTCAAGACAAAGGTAACCACCAGCTCCCATCCTCTTGTGCCTTCGATCCAACAGCATGGCAGGCCGGGGACACGGCCTTGCACTGGGCGTGTTTGAGCAAGAGGGCTCCGATTGTTGCCTGCCTGTTGAACAACCGAGCGAGGTCAGACAGCATTCGAGTGAGGGGAGGCGATGTGTGCCGTGACTTGGATGGGTGGAAAGCGTCAACACCACCAACCAGCTGGGGGAGACTCCTCTGCACCTGGCGTGCGGCAGCGGCAACGTCGAAATCGTTGAGATGCTCCTGAAGAAGAAGGCCAATAGTTAGTGACTGAATGACCGTCCAGCCCTGCCATGTCCTTGACTGTCCCTGCCAGTCAACGCCGCTACTAAGGATGGTGACCATCCTGTTCACTTCGCCATCACGGGTGGGACGAAGAAGTCACTTGGGCCTTGAATGTCGTGACGATGATGGCAAGGCGGGAGCAAGGAAGTGCTAAGCACGCTGCTGGCGCTGGATATTGAGTTTGCCAAGAATCAGTTCAAGGAGACGGTGGGTGAAATAGGAGAAGAGGAGGAGGAGGAGGAGGAGGAGGCGAGGGTGAAAGGGCAACCAAGGAGAGGAGAAGCTGTGAGGGAAAGGGGGAGGGAGGAGGGAAGGAGAAGGCTTCATGACCCTATCGGCAGTTCTTCCACTTTGCGGTGCAGAAAGGAGACGTGGGGATGGTACAGATGATTTCCGAGGCCATCCGAAGATCCAAAGGTGGAGAGGAGGGAGAGGAGGGGGGAGGGTGACGAGGGTTGACCGGCGTTGGCAGGGGCGGAGGCGTGCAAAGGGCAGTTGGACCTGAAGAACAAGAACGACGACACCTGCCTGCACTACGCTGTTACCAACGGGTCCGATGGGGCTGTCAGGGTTTGGTCTACTTTCTCATCCACTCCTGCAGTGACGTCCAAGTCGTGTCCAAGCTTCTTTCCCTCAGGGCGAACGTGAACTGCGAGAATTCTCTGAAAGACACGGTCGCCCATCCTCTGCCTCCCTCCCTCTGTCCCTGCCTGCCTGCCTACCTGCCTACCTGCCTGCCTGCTTGCCTGCCTGCCTGCCTCCAATGCTCTCTGATTCTCCTGGCATAGCCGCTACACATTGCTGCTACGGTCGGGGACGTCTCCATCGTCCACCTCCTGGTAAGGGAGTAGGAACGGGAGATGGGGAGGAGCAGGAGATTGGGAGGAGGAGCTGAAGGTGGGGAGGAACAGTAGGAGGAGAGGACGAGAGGAGGGTTCACTGTTCACGGCCTGGCAGCTGAGGTATCGGGCCAACATCAACGCGGTCAACTTGAAGAAAGTGGGAGAGGATGAAGTTCCCAACGAGACGCCTCTGTGAGAGCTGGAGGGACGCGCGAACCCCCTGGGGCCTCTGATAAGGTTGACAGGCACTGGGCTGCATGCTCGGGCCAGTCGGCCGTTGTCAGGCTACTAATAGAGGTGAGGGGACTGGGATGGTTCCTTACGCACAACCTTTCTGCTGCTGCTGCTGCTGCTGCTGCTGCTGCTGCTACTTTACTTGATCCTCGTGCTCCTTACGTCCTTCTAGCTCCTCTCTGCTTCTATCATTTTCTTCCACCCTCTCTCCTCCCTCCTCCTCAACCCCTCTCCCCTCTCCTTCTCCCTCCTCCTTCTCGTCCTACCACCACTCAACTCCTTTTTCTCCCTCTCCTCAACCGGAACGGACTTGTACTATCTAACATATTCAACATCTACTCACTCTCTTCCCCTCCTTCAGTCCCGCGCGAACCCTCTAGCCAAGAACGCGGCCAGTAAGACCCCCATCCAGCTTGCCTGCGACATCCCCACCATCCAGGCCTGCAACGACTTCCTCAGGAAGGATGAGAAGTGAGCGAGTCTCCACCTCCTTCACTGCTGCAGGAGCCCCACGATCACCGGGGCCAGCTGTACCATCACCTTTCGACTTGTCAATAAACGCTGAGCAAGCATAAAGCCTGCAAGACCAGCTCGTCGTTGACGCTCATATCTTCAAGCAGGCGAGGTGCAAAGTTTCAGATTGGAACATCCTCCACGTCCTCCTCCCCTCCCCTCCTTCTTGCCTGGAATCTTCTCCTCCTCCTCTCACTCGAGGCATCGCCCCCCCGCTAACCCCCCTCATCTCCTCCCTCCTCTTACCTCTGCTGAGAAGCCCATTGCGACGAGTGAAGCCATGGGTGAGGAGGGCGACCCTGCGCGGCTCGTCTCACTGTCAGCAGGGGAGAGAGTGCAGAGCTTTCCTGCCGATCCGATCCCTTGACATCCCCAGCGACGGGAGCGAGTCGTTGATGTCTGCCAGTCGATCCTTGACAGCTTGCTGCATCTGCTTGCAAGCCAGCGCCTCCCTGGTTGAGCATGAGAGGAGGAGAGAACAGTCACCGCAGGACCTGACAGAGCTTGCCGAGCTCTCTAGCTTCCTGGCGAACGCTCGGCCTGCCTCATCCAGCCTCCCTCCCTCGTCGCTCCTCAACTCCAGCAGACATGCCAGCTCGTCCTGCTGCACCTGGCGACGCAAGAAGAAGACTCTTGAGATGAAAGGCAGCTGCTCGAAGGCGGTCAGCTGTCTAAGGAGCGTACGAGGTTGAGCAGAGGCAGATGAGAGAGGGTGGCGGGCGGTGGAGGGAGGAAGAGCGAGATGCAGGAGGAGGAGAGCAAGGGGGAGCAGGATTTCTGAGAGGAATCAAAACAAGGGGGATGGGGATGGAGGGGAGGAGAAAGGGAATAAAGGACGAAAAGGGAAGGGAAGGGCAGGACAGGGCAGGAAAGGGAAGGGAAGGGCAGCTGTTCTGGTGTTTTGCGAAACTGTCACCTCCTTCATAACGAGTGACTCGAGGAAGGGCAAGCTACAGGCCCTGCAGTACTTCAGGATGGACGACTGCAAAGCACTTCAGCGTTACAACCCGAACCTCTGCAGACCGATCCTCACCTCCTTGGCCGGAGAGGAGGAGGAGTGCGGAGACGGCATGCCGTTCCGGTCTTCGTGGTAGCTCGTCGACCGCTCTGCTGCCTCCTCCTCCGTGCTCGCGTCCCTGATGCGGGGGGAGTCTTCCCGACCGTCCTGCTCAGCGGAAGAGTGGGACAGGCGGCGCTCTCGTACGGTGGACTCGATCGTCCTCGGCGATTTGGTGACATGAAGGGAAACTTTCGCTTCCAACGGAAGCTTGCCCCTTTCCTTCGACTCCTCCTGTGCTCTGACTGGCAGTTCCAAGGGCTGCGGTCGTTCCTGTTCCCCGTGCTCTGCTGGAGAGGCGCCATCCTCCTGGGAGGGAAGCAGTGTCACTTCCCCCGACCAAGTCCAGGACTCAAACCTTCACATGCAGTGACCGGACGCCGTCCAAGAGGTATGAAACATCACTGAGTCGTCGACAGGGTAGCGAGACTACGGGCGACTCGCCCTCCCTCCTCTCCACGTTCGCCCTGCAACCTCCTCTTGTCAGCATGTGCAGCAGCCGAGCGGCATGTGTCCTCCTCTCCCACCTGATCTCCAGGTTGTTGCCGCTGTATGGCAACTTGCGCCGCAGCTTCATGCAGACCTCGTCTTCCTCGGATGGCCCGTCGAGGAAGAACAGGAGCTGGAAGATGCTGCTCTTGTCTGTGATGGGCTTTCCGTTGATCTCTACAATCACGTCCTCTGCTCTCGTCGTCCTCCAGTGCGCCTTCCCTTCCCCGCTGATGCCGCCGACGTGCTTGATCGTCCAGCCACTGTTCGGGACCAGGACTAGCACAAGGTCAGTGCAGACAGACGTCACGTAGGACTCAGGGGCGGGGGCAGTGGTCAGGAGTGCGAGCCTGTCCTTGAGTGCTCTCAGCTTCTCCAAGGATCGCTGGGACCGGAGGGGAGAGGTCCGGATCAAGCTAGCCTGATAGATGCTGCCCTCCCTGCTCACCAGGATCCTAGTCCTCGTCCCTGGCCTCCCTTCGAACTTGTTGACGATCTGCTTGAGGGAGAGCTCTGCGAGGGACACCCCATCTACCCCTATCATGATGTCTCCCATCGACAAGCTCTGCGACAGATCTGCTGCCCCTCCTTCCGTAAGCGCCACGATCCTCACTTTGGTAGAGCCATCTTCGACCTTGACGGAGACCTTGACGCCGATGCCCGCTGACTCCTTGCGAGCCTCCTCCTGCTCCTCCTCCTCTCCCTGCTCCTGCCTCACCAGGTGAACTGAAAACCTCTCCTCCTCTCTGTCTCCGCAGAGCAGCTCCACTAGAGCCAAGGAACCCATGACTCCGCTCTCAGCCAGCAGCTCTGCATCGGACGGTCTCGTCACCTTGCGCCCATCGATAGAGAGGATCCGATCGCCCAGCGCAATGGTGCCGCTCAGGTGAGCTGGGCTGCCATACCTTACCTCCTCCACCCTCCCGTCCTTCCCCACCACCATACCCAGCGCCGCCATGGCGCCGGGCCGGGGAGCCTGATGAGGGTCAAAGTCAACAGCAAAGTCAATTTGTTTACAAGGGACTGAGCACGAGCGGGGAAGCGGGCACAGTCGGGCTGTCGGGAATGCAAGGGAGGGCGAGGCGACAGCGTCTGCCGCTGCTGCTGCTGCTGCTGCTGCTGCTGCTGCCTCAAGTGAGTATTCATGTTTGATCTCCTTCCTCTTCCTCACACGAGATCTGGGATGTGAACATGTTGTCCTCTCCTCGAAGTTCGAGCCCCCGTGCTCCTGAACCCTCGATGCCATGCATCGGAGCATGCCCGCCATCAACTCTGCTTACTTGAATCGAGTTCTCACCTTGTCCTTCAGTGCTGTCACCTCAAGGCGATCGGGTGTGTGGGATTCGGCTTCATCGCGGGCAGCGAAGAGGGTCTGACGGAAGGGAGCTGCGAGGAGTATCTCAAGTACATGGACCACCCCATGCTGCCACGAGGAGGGGAGACCCGGCATTCTTCCCTCATAGCTCATCAGAATCTCACTACCATCGAAGGTCCCTCTGCTCTGCTGGACGTGCCCGTTCCCTGAGCTGCCGTTGCAGGAGACCCCGAATGCAGTGGGAGAGGATGGTTGCTGGCAGGGAAGGAACCTTCGTGTGTTTGTTTTCACGAGGCAGCAGGGCCTGATTGCTCAGAGAGCAGCGGAAAGTGAGAAGAAGCTGCAGGCTCTTTCCTAGGATGACCTGCGTGCAGAGGGGGGCGACGGCCGAAAGCAGCGATCGTGTACCTTTTGTACGGGTCGGACAAGTACTTTGAGCTGTGAGTGGAGAGGGGGGGGATGGAGGAAGAGGAGGAGATGGAGGATGATATGGGGGAATGGAGATTGTGGGGATGGAGGAGCAGGAGGAGCAGGAGGAGCAGGAGGAGCAGGAGGAGCAGGAGGAGGAGAAGGAAGCGGTGGGGGTAATGGTAGTGGGAACGCAGATCTGTTCGCTCGTTGAAGCTGCTCTGATGTGGAGCATACGGTTGGTTCAGGTTGAAATCTGCAGTGAGCGGGATCACCATGAGTTTCCTGCAAGAGTTTCCCCAGTGCGCGATGTCCCCTTGCGGTGTGGAGGAGGCTGACGGCCCTGCCCGAGCAGCTACGACCTCGTCATCTTCCACTCGGAGAACTTCGAGCGAGAGGACGAGACAGGGAGGACGTACCTCCAGCAGATCCAGGAGCTCACCTTCGTACCCATCAAGGTCGACCCTCGTCCTCATCCTGCCCAGCTCTCCTCTGATCTGCTCTGGAGCAGTTCGTCAAAATCGAGCTGGAGTATCGACCAGAGTTCCACGAAAGGTGGCGAGCTGGTCCCGAGCTGGGTCCCTGACGCCCAACGAGCAGGTTCTCAAAGGACGTACCCAACGGCATGCCGTGTGGGAACTGTGAGTGTGATGGGAGGAAGGGAGTGAAGTCAAGTCAAGTGAAGCTTCCTCTTCCGCAGACAGCGTCAACTACTTGCACATGGGACGGTTCTTCCAGGTACCTGCTGGCTGAGCAGGCTGTGGGGGTCACAGGTGGCTGCCAGTACACCTTGTTCCGTCATCCCGCTGTCGCCGAGTACGACTACCTGTGGCGACTGGACGCAGACTTGGAGACGCGATTGGGGATCCCGTGCGATGTCTTTGAGGTGAAGATGATGAATGATAATGCTGATGCTGATGCGTTGGGGGGGGGGGGGGAGGGGAGGGAGGAGGAGGAGGAGGAGGAGGAGGAGG